CAAGATTGCTGATTTTGGAGTCAGCAAGATCAGCACAGGTTCTGAATATTCATGCAATGGGGTTGGGGGTACGTGCGCATATATGAGTCCAGAGAAATTCAATTCAGATGGCCAAGAATATGATGTTTTTCTTGGAGACGTATGGAGTCTTGGTTTAACATTGATGGAGCTGTACATTGGACATTATCCTTACGTTCAACCTGGGCAAAAGGCTGCCGATAATACGGCATTGATGTGGGAAATATGCTTCGAAGAGCCTCCTTGCTTGCCTAAGGATGCATCTGAAGATTTTAAGGATTTTATCGAGTGTTGTCTGCAAAAGGATTGGAAGGAAAGATGGACAGTCGAGAAGTTGTTATCGCATCCATTCATAATAGGCGCAAGACAGAATGACGTCGGACTCGGATGTACTATCGGAACAAAAAGGGACAATTCAGTGCTTAGCGATTCTTTCTCTGTCAGAAGGATAGTTAGAGTTTAGAAATTGTTTATGATTGTCAAAATTGAGATGTCTGGCAAACTGTCTATACGGATTTTATGTGATTCATGTAATACTTCAAGGTGTTTAATAGAATGTCTCTGGTTTTATTCTTCCTTAAATCTCTTTTTCTGTTTTATGGTTTTTCAGAATATTTTCTGCATTACTGTGTCTGTCTTCTGGTTAATATAATCGCTAACGAACAAACGAGGGCTTATATGTAAAAGAAGAAAATAATGCTCTACTTTTAAGACAGCCAGACAGGTATAATTTTTCAAACCTGCAACTTCCACCCATTGGAATGATTCAGAAAACAGTTATACTCCAAACGAATTGTACATCGGCACTCACATTCAAAACTTTCAATCAACTCAAACAAATCCATGCCCACCTCTTCAAAATCAATTTCTCCGAGAACCCATCAATCGTTGCCCCGCTTCTCTCATTTGCAGTCACCTCCAACAATCCCACCTTGTTTTCCTATGCTTGCACCATTTTTGAGAAGCTGCGGTACCGGAGTACCTTCCTGTACAACAACATGATCAGAGGATATGTA